AAAAAAATTGTCAATTTCCGACCATTTACCACTCACGTAGTTGAGTCAAAGTCTCACTTTGACGCATGCCGTAACTTCCTGCTGACGTCTAGCGCAACGGCAAGCCTACACGTGACTCGGGGACACCGCCCACTCATCTTACGACACGTAATACTTTCATTAACGTTTATCAATAGTTTCTTATGATTAATACATCAAGTAATAAGACTTTCGATACGAAGTTACGAAAGGTCCTCCTCCGGTGACGCGCGATGTCGCGTGACTTACTTATTCTTCGTTTGTCGAGTGGCCATCATCATCGGTCTAGATTCCTCTCTGACACTTTCGTTAAGAACTATGATTTACACCATTTTTTCGTGATTCAGGGTAAGGAATATGTATCAAGCGATTGAAAAGATAGTGGTTGCCCAGGAAAAGTAATTCCCGCATTTATGCCCCACTGTTAGCGGGGAAAAGGCGCAAAAGAAATAATTGCAGACAATTTCTTTGATTTGTGATCTTCTACCAAATCATCATCAGTCTAGATTCCTCTCTGACACTTTCGTAAAGAAGTATGATGTACACCATTTTTTTCATGATAGGAATATGTTGGAAGCGATTGAAAAGATTGCTCAGAAAAAGTAATTTCCGCATTTATCGCACCCTAGTCCCATGTACTGGCGGGGTCTGAAAAAAACACGTTAAAATCATTAAAACTGGTGAAATAATGGCAGACAATTTCTTTCATTTGTGATCTTTCTAAATCATCATCAGGAGTAGATTCCTCTCTGACACTTTCGTAAAGAAGTATGATGTACACCATATTTTTCCTGACTATCATGATACGAATATGTTTCAAGCGATTGAAAAGATTGCTCAGAAAAAGTAATTTCCGAATTTATCGCACCCTAGTCCCACGTACTAGTGGGGTCTGTTAAAAAAACACGTTAAAATCATTAAAACTGGTGAAATAATGGCAGACTGGTTCTTTGATTTGTGATCTTCCACCAAATCCATTTCCGCCACGCACGCTGTAAGGTAAGAGATAAACCAGTCAGTGTGAGTTCCAAATTGTTACCGATCTATCTCTCAGCAGATGCGATCTTCTGGTTACCCGAGAAGGCAGATCACGTAGACCCTATCTACTGATCTACGCTCCGATCCTATTTACGGTCGCACATTTACGGCGAGCTCCGTCGGAAAGCCATTACACTTTAACCTGGTAAGTGATTTAGGCTCGGCTCGACCGAAGCGCTGCCGCCCGACCGTTTTGCCTTGCTCCGTGCGTGCATCACTTGTACTAGTAGTAGCATCCACCAGGCCTTTCTACGGGAATACAGATCGTAGAATTCGGCAAAAAAGACAGTAAAATTGGCCAAGGGAGTCCGGCCGTGGGGAGGTAGTTTCTTGCCCGGTCAGTCAAACCTACAAGGCGGCCAAACTCCCCTGGCAAATATTCTCCTGTATATATAGCCAGCGTAGTTATACTGGTAGAGACTACACTTGAAGCCAGATGGCGAGAATTCGGCAGTTTGAATCAATCTTTCAATGCCGATATTATTCAAGATTTTCATTATTTTAAACGTCGTTGTTTTACACATTTTCTTGCGCAATAAGTCTACCTGGGTTCATAATGACATTTGTGACTAAAAGATCAACGTCATTGCAACGCAAAAAAAGGTGTTGGAAGGTCCCGAACGAAAACCACTGTTTGTTTACATTCTTTGTAGGAGCCTCCTAAAAATACAGCGGGCCTGGTGCAACTTATTCTCGCGCTGCACTGAGTTGCCGGGAAAGCTAAATAGCGGCGTTTATATGATGAAAGTTATTAAAAATGACAACACAATCTAGATGAGAAAATTTCAATTATTTATATTTACAGTTTTGGCGCAAAAATCTTACAAAAATATCGCTTTAAACATGCAATGATAGACCAATCACTTCTACATTTTCTTTTCCATTCGTGCATTTTACTGTCATGTTTTTCAGACGCCAATGTTAAATTGACAAAGTTTTATGGCACGTACTATTATTGAACTTGTTTTTCCCAGTAGAATCACCCACTTATCATGAAAATGTAGCTGAACATACTTAACAACGCTTAATGTTCTGACAACTTGTAATATGTTGTGATGTTACAAATGTGTGTTATTTTCCACTAATGAAAACCATTCACCACGCAGTCACGCGATCGTTGCTTACAATCACACCAGAACGCCCACTCAAACGTAGATTCAGTGTTATCATCACAGGCTAATTATCGTTACGCGTAGGTCCAGGGTTTCTGGTCGATTACAATGACGCAACTCTCAAACGTTATCGAGGGAAGATTCAACCAGTCAGATAACGCCAACTCATTTCGTTTGGGTTTTCTGCTTTCTGTTGGTGCTGATAGGAGTTCTGTCAGTCATTCAAATCAGTCAAACCGGTGCAATGGCCCAGTGGGTAAAGTGCTCGCCTTGCATTCGTGGTCGAGTTCGATCCCCGGCCGAGTCATACTGTTTTTATCTATTGTGTAATCACTCGACCACTGTTTCTTGTTATTCAGTTTGAAGCTGCGTAATTCAGCCTTTTTCTTTGTATTAGTAGGCTGCAATGTGTTTTTTTACGTAAATTTGTGAAGAAACCATTTATACATACCAAAGACTTTGAAATTGTACATACTGATTTCTCTGCTTACTACTCAGCATTTGGAAACTACTCAGCATGTACCACTAACAGTGGACTAGCCCTCTGCTGTAGTGATTGCACTGCTGTGTGGCTATTGAAAACGGAGATGGGCGCCGCCCTATGCGTCACTTGATTCGGGAAGACTCTTTAAGTCATTTTTAAGTCATACTTTAACTTTAAGTCATTCAAGGTGGGAGGCCGTATCTTCACGGCAGTGTTGTTAAACCCTAAACCACCTCTGTGTGGTGTTCTATGTAGTGTGTCAGCATTCCATGATTCATCCCGGTAACGCCGTGGTCTTTATCTCGCGTATCATCCAATTTATCTCGGCGGGCCAGGTCAGACACCTTGACCGCCAAACGTCTTGACCTGTTCGCTGAATACAAACACGCCTGTATGGAGCTTTCCTCGTGGAAGGCATGTGACAAGTGTATTCTTTTTTAATAAGGCCAATGCAAGTTAAGTTTATGGATGACATCCTCCACAGATAAATTCCAACTCTAATGCGATAGAGCGAAAAAAAAACAAGGCGGGTGAAAAAACAAGATTCCTACATTTTCAAATTATAACCTTGTTAAACAAGAAATGATACCTATATACTGTGCTAAGTTTACTGCCAACTATTACAACATCCATTTGTTATTGAAACAACTGAAAAATAAAGTTTTCAATCATTGCACAAATGGTTTTGATTCCGTGAATATGACATAATAGGAATGAAATACATCACTACATCAAAGTAAAAGACAAAACAATAAATCCGAGCCTTTTCTTTTCTCCTCTCTTCATAGTTATCTGCCATCCACGTTCCAGCATGGCAACAGACATCTTTGCCCATTTTCGGCATGTTGACCACTGTCAGACGGCAACAAAATTTCTTGTTTTTTTTCCTCCAAAATCAGGCGAAAGTTAATGTCATCCATAGAATTACCTACTGTGGCCTAAATGAGTGACTCCTTAGGTTTTATTCTCCTGGTCACTGGGCTGAAACGTACCTTCCTGGTTTTCCATCAGAACATAAAAAGAATACACACAAAAAGATATTCAGTAGAAGGTACTTTACTTTGTATTAGAACCTTTCGTCTCATCTGACTCATCACCATTGAATACCACAGAAAAGTTTACCATATCACGTAAAACCGACCAGTTCAATAGTTTTTATTGTACCTCACGTGACTTTTATTACCTCACCTTTCACTAAACCAAGACTTTCTCTAACACGATGAATGTATTTCTGGACAGGTTTATAGCGACTGTGGGGGAGGGAGCCAGACAAATTCTCTATACGTGATGAATTGGCCATTACAAGGGATAATCAAATGCATGCTTTCTTAACGATCTACGTTTTGTGTTCGCTGACAGGCCCGAAGACTTTAGCAGGAAATCAATCAATACGTTAACAAATCATGCCGGTGCTGTTTATGTATGTACCGGCTGTTTGTAGACTTGGTTATAACTATACAGTAGTGTTAGCTAGATTCGAACGCGAGAGTTTGGGGCAATCATTTGATACTCAAACATTTTACACAAAAGAAGCAACATCGTAAACTAGAAATAGCTGAAAATGGGTTGTACAACTTGTACTATTCTGATGAATTCTTTAACGATATATATACTTACACGTACCTGTTAAGTACACCTATTGCATTATTAAACATCCATTAATCTGTGTGATTACTACACCATGTTTCTGCTCGTTTAAGCCTTTATGGGGCAAGGTGATGAAACGTACCTATTCATTTGAATCGGGTATTTGCATCGGCATCGTCAAAACCAGAAATTATAAAATAAAACTAGACTAAGTATACACTGACTTGAAGTTATCATCACCATTGACCGACATAGTCCCACTGTCTTTGCTAACTCATTTATAGACCTTCTGTCCACTGCTCAGCGGAACTGAAGCTGCAATCGTGGAAGGTGCCAGGCAACATCATATGACTACCTCGCGAAAGCTATGAGGTACATTCTCGAAGACTGTAATGACGTATTTTTATGTCGTAATTCATCTATTTATGCTAACTGGTAAAATCACTGGTTCGCCATTACAAGCCTTTTATTTAGAAAATCAATCATACGCACTTTCTGCCGTTGCCGGCCCTCTCTTTAGCACTAAACACATACCCTCAGAAATTTGTTGTAAAAATGTTAGCTCAAAACTTCAAAACGGCAACACCCCAACCGCAGGATGTTTCTATTGCTTTGAGAAGGTTAACCTAGTGTGCCCTTCTTACACATTGAGGGTCAATTCTTTTGCCTTAAAGTTCATTGCTCTTTCGGGTCGGTCTGCAAGATGCAGTATCTGGTTGAAACTGGACGATAACCACACGCGGAGCCCACGCAGCAGGAAATAACTAAAATGAATCAGGATTTTCCAGGCTTGGGCGCGGCTCTCTTTGCTTTAGGTATCGACTTGCGTGATTGGTGGGGAGCTATCGCCTGCACACCGCATCAAATAAGTGTTCGGGCAGGCGCTGGAGAGGATCCAATCCGCCCACGTCACGTCACGCGTCCGGCGCGCAGGGGAGGTGCCATCTGGCAGCGGGACCTGAACAACACCACACCGGGCTGCTTTCTCTCACAGGACGGTGGGACTGTAACGGGACTGCGCGTCTTCTCGGCAATTATAAGGTGAGGAGACTCAATTTTCCTGGATAATTTAGAATCTTTCGTATGTTTCTTGCTTTCATGGTGTAGAGTGAAAATAAGGTTTGTGCAATTGTGGATTTTGAAGCAATGCTTTTTAAAATGTCGCATCATGTCTGTAAAACGACGGGTGGCAATTATAAGGTGAGGAGACTTAATTTCTTTCGATAATGTAGAATCTTTTGTATGTTCCTTCCTTTTGTTGTGTAGAGTGAAACAATGTGTGTACAATTGGGGTGGGGGGTGGGGGTTGAAGCACAGTTGGCTTTTTTTTAAATGTCGCCCCATATATGCCAAACGACAGGTCAAGACAGTCGCATAAAATCTGGAAGCAAACCGCTATGCATGGCCATAAAATTCGTCTGACGGACAGAAACATTTTCGTACTTCTTTTTTTTAGTTTGTTCCTTTCCTTCATACGAAAAGCCGTGAGCTTGAAAATGTGTGCATCGGAGATAACCACGATGTCATACATGCAATATCCTTCAAACGATTTTGCTTTTTCTAGTTCTCGGTGACAATTAATTTCAGCATGAAAATTTACACTTCATCCATAATTTTTCACTCTCTTCAACATTACATCCAACTTTTTGGATGTAATGTTTTGGATGAAAATTGCCGACATAAGTTACAAGTAGTGAGCTACAAAGCAACCATTCCTTCTATAGTATAGCCTCCGTAGCAGGCTTATAGAACTGGGGGTTTGGTGGTCTTCGGCTGTTTTCTGATTATCCCAGTTAAAAAAACGGAGGAAATTCAACCAGGCCGGTTGTCTATACGCAATCAGAAAATAGCACATGAAAGCTCTCAAAGACCCTGAAGACCCCCCAAACCCCCAGTTTTTGCAATGCTATGGAGTCTATCCTATAGTAGGCGTTGGCTTTACCTGCCCTAGATAGTAAGACGAATCCCCGGTCTATGTTAAGCAGTGTCTGGCTGCGTTAAAAGACCATTTCATTCCCGATATACATACCAGACAGTTTTCATTACACGCCTTTCAGTCGGACAAAGACTTTATTACTAAGAGGGAGATGACCATTTGCATCTCAAGTAGCTGGGTTTGACTAGCCTCCACTCAGGCTCTAGCTACGGGCAACATTCGCAGATGTTCTGATAACATGGTAGCAATGAAAAAAACAGTAACAGGCCAAAATAGGGAATGTTAAATAATGATAGCGAAAGAAACATTCTTTTCTATTATGTGTTCCGTAAATTTTCCCATTTTAAGCATTTGAATGGTATAGAGAAATTTATGTTCCTTAATTAAAGTCTTCGATAAACCAGCTCTAACTAAACATACAGCCAACTACATTTATGCGATTACCAAGAGGAAGTCGAAAATACATGTGTATTCTAGACGTTTATATTTACATTTATATACTTTGTTAACATGTGACCTTAGCCCAGTGGGGCAAAATATACAATAAAGGTCTTCATTCATTAAATGCGGTCGCAGGTAGGGCATGCTATGGAGGCCAGGTGGTGACCACAGCCTGCGTTCTCATACACCTCATCTCAGGCACTATTGTACCAGGATAACATTTGGACCATTAGTAGAGAGAGCCCAAAATCAAATAATCCCAGTATTCTATGGAATTACCATATATAAACATTACTGTAGATTGAATAAGCCATCATCGACTTTCTGATAGGCTAATATATTTATAGATTGCTCCTATTCCAAATACCACAGGAGTAACCTAATTCTTCTCGGCTTTCGGTATTTTCATTATTCAAAATTTAACCCTGTACTTCTACCCTATAATATAGGCTGAAGTCCAGTAGAAGATAGCTAATACTAATAAAAAAAGATCAAGTCAGCGCTTCAGATTTTAAGGAAAACAGGTGTTTTCAGAATATTTTCTGGTTTGCTCTGCTCCTATGACATCAACTGTAAAATTATGTTAGCCACACAGAACTACATAACAGAAACAAAACGCGTTTAGCTATATGTGTCCTGTTTTGCTTTCTTTCCTTCTGGGATGGGAGTTTTGATTCACGCTTCTAGCTAGGTCTCTTATGAATCCACACTTTGTTCAAAGGTTTTGCAAAATACCTTTATTTTTCATTGTAAAAGTGACTGCGAGAAGACAAATTGTGCCTAACTTGAGTTCGCAGTCACTTTGTGCCCTTTCATTTGTATTCATTACTGTTTTCTGAATAAAGAAGTATAAATTTTCTGGTAATGTACGATGTTTGTGTGTCAAGTAAACATAGCATGTTTGACTGTTATTTTCTCCATTTTTACTGCAAATTTTAGTCGACAAACCCAGAAGCAGAACATTCAAGTGAATATTTCATAATGCATGTTGTTTGAAGGTGGTCCTGTCTGTCCTTTCTTCAATGTTATTGCATGACGCCATGCATCTCATCGTTTACTTCGCCTATGTGCGAGTTAATCAATTGTAGTAATGAGGTGGAAAATGTAGACTTCCCACCGTGAAATGAGGAAGGCCGTATTTACAACTAGCCTCAAAGCAGTCTAAGCACGTGTTTTTTTCTGCCATTTTTAAGGGCATCCAGTGTATAATTCTTAGGGCTTGGAAACCAGATTTTTCAAAGTCAATATTCTATTCACTTATCTACATACTGAGTTGAAATAATGAACACTGTCCCAATGTATATCGACAAAAATAGAGATAAAATGTCCAAAATTCTGACGGAAAATGGTTACTGGAAGAACTTGGATTGATTTTAGGGTACCACCCTGAAAATAAAGGACTTTATCTTGGGGCTTGTTTCTGCAGTTTTAAATGCCTAAGGTATGAAATACTGATTCAAATGTGCTAATGTGGGATAGTACCGTGGAATAAAAATTAAACACACACACACACAAATTTTACCCTCCCATTATATTTAAGAGTCTCTAGACCTTGGAGCGTCCTAGGCCGAGATCTGCTCTATTAATTCGAGAGGTTGTCAAGCCAAGGTTACGCATACCTAAGTGTTTGTGCAATCTGGAGTGGGAAATTTTGAAAGGCAGGCTGTTAGAGGAAAGAAGCTTTTTGATACTTGAGTCGTACGGTGACGTTTGTCAGATCATGGAGGTAAAAAACCTGTTTTTTTGCTCCATGGTCAAATTTAGTCTTGAGATTTCTTTTTCTTCTATTAGCATTAGATGTGGGATGGTGGAAACCTTCTGTAGACTGTGTTAACCTGATACAAGTCTGTGATTAGTTTTGTAATGCTGGGGTCACATTTCCATGCCGGGGCCCGGCCGGGCTGTTTCGATTAACGAAACATCAACAATTTTCATTAAGAATATACGTAAATAGTTCCATTGTTGATATTTTTCAACCTTTCTGTGCTTTTTTGTCTTTTATACCATATTTTTCGTTCCAAATGACAGCCCGGCCGGGCCCCGGTTTGGAAATGTGACCTAAGCATTAGATACTAGTATATCCCTCTATCTCACCTCTGACTATTCTCTGTCCTTGTACTTTGATGAATATGGAGCTCACACTGTTAAATGCAGATTTCAAGAGAGGCCCGATGGGGGAGGCGTGTGGAAGTGCTTTTAATTGTTCCGCATAAAACACGTTACTTTAAGTGCCTTTTGGTTTGTGCCTTGTACTTTGAGTACAAAATTATTAGTGCAGTCTACTTAATAAAATTCCTATTAACCCAAATAACACATTTTAACGAGAATCCCTTATTACTTGACTACTGCCATTTCATGCGCCATATTTTAGCATATTTTGATATTCATCCCTCGTACTTTATGTTCAATCTGCACTCCCCATATATTATTTTTGAATGGATTTTGAGAGCCTCTTTATGCATATTCTCTCTAGTGCTTTCGGGAGCGGCAAACTGTACTCTTGAGCGGGCCAACTTCCCTGGCATGTTATCTCTCTATTTGGCCAATTTCTACTCTTTCCAGCCGCTTTCCAAAACCTGGTACAGGCTACAGTTTGACTAGATTGTTGTAGTCTCCATCATTTATATATATAACAAATGAAATAAATAAAGAATATAATAGGAATTTGCATATCAATGTTACAAAACAAAAGTAACGGTTACTCTGTGGCCAGAATTTCCTGGTTATACAAACGCTTAAACGAGGCGACGGAAGGTGCTGTTTTCAAAGTAGATTGGAGAGCATTCCAAAGAGCTGCACCAGTACTGGACAAGGATTTGTTTTTGTACTGCAGATTAGCCTTAGGCATGCAGTTGTAATCGCCCTCTAACCGTTGTGTTGTTATGTGTCTGTCCGCAGACATGTGGAGTACAGGCGGACAGGTGCTGTCCTTGGTGCTGACGGCTGTTGCTGTCATACTGGTACCGTCAGCTGACTGCAGCGCTCCACGTAAGTACCGCACCAGTTCGGACCAGTTTTACACTTACATACTTAGGCCACAGCAAACAATTTTTATGGATGACATCAGCGCGCCGTCTGATTTTGAAAAAAAAGAAAACAAGAAATTTTATTGCTCTCTGGTAGTGGTCAACATGCCGAAAATGGGCAAAGATGTCTGTTGCCATGCCGGAACGTGGATGACAGATAAATATATAGAGTGGAGACAAAACAATACTCCAATTTGTTTTGTATTGTACTTTGATGCAGTGATATATTACATTTCTTTTATATATGATGTTCCCATTGAAATTTAAAAATGTAGGAATTTTTTTTTGCCCGCCTTATTTTTTTCACCCTATTGCATTAATTTTGGATGTCATCCATGAAATTTACTACTCTTCAAGCCGATTTTTTGTTTTTGTTTTGCGTGTTTTAAGGCGTTTATCGGGGTTCCTTTTTTTTCACTGAAAAATTACAGAGCAAAAAAGAAGCCCCGATAAAAAAAGCCTACAAACACGCTAAAAGTAACCCAACACCAAAACCTCTGCTTGGAGAGTAAAAATTTACTTGCTGTGGTCTTAGTGAACCTTTTTGTATATGTATCAATCTGTGTTTATGCTCTGTGATCTCAAAGCTAATACGATTAAGAGCAGTAAGCTTTACAAACAATGGCTTCTCGTTTTGACAGTCTAAAATTCGTCTTAATTTTGTAGATAAGGAAAATTGTAATTTCATATCCACCAGGAGCGGTTAGAAGCTATCACCTCTGGGCATATATTACACCGTCTGGTTGGCTTATCGGAGATATTTCCGTAATCTTGTTTTCACACGCACGCATTTTATATTATAACTTATTGGAGCGGGGTAAGGTATGCATATTGCAAATTCATCATCCCTTTGTATTTACGCATCAAGCCGTGGGCTTCCTGTCGAAAACTGACACCTATTTGTAATACTTGAATCGCATTTTCCTGCTATATGGTTCATAAAGTATGAGATCATTTTACGAATTGACATATCCCTAACGCACCCAGTTGGCGCCACAGAAGTTTGTTCTCGAAATGTAAAAGTTGCCGTACCGTTACTTAACGATTTACTTCACAAACAGATAATGCACACAGGCAATAAGTAATAAATAAGTGGTCAATGCCATCCGAAACATTAATAATACACAATTCACATTACGAGGACAAGGTCAGAAAAGCAGTACAAGCAAAGTAGTATATGTTGGTTTACCACTTGCTAAAACAACTCGCAAAGGACGGTACCAAATCAGCAATATAAACTAGGTGCCTATAACTTCCGTATAAACATTTTGGGGTAAGAGTTCGTGCTGTGAAATTGTTGTTTAGATGTTACACTGTGTTCTCTCATTCAATTTGTGTTCTAACATTTGTCGTCCCTTAGTATATTTCAAATCCGGGCATCTTGTGTTTTTCGGTCCTTTTTTTTTCGCGCTCTCGCATTAGAATTAGAGTCTCCAGAGGACGGCATCCATAAAAAAATTACTTGGTGTGGCCTAACCAAAATATTGTTGGCTCCTAGGGCGGTCAGTTCTGTGACAACCTGCTTGAAAATTCTTCGGCTTGAAAATCATACGACGACGAATATTATCGCACCGTATTCAAGTCCAAGTTCCTATCAGACTGTCCTGTTATCATTTTCTCCAGTAATTAGCAATACCCCTTCCCTCCCCAGCGCCAGAGATCCAGGATGAGGTGAATAAGTGCATGCTGACGCTCGGACTTCACAAGGTCATCCCACATATCAGCTCCGTCAAGATGGCCATGGACTTCTGCATGGCTAAAGTGGCCCGGGCTCAGTCGGACGGCTTCCAGAGAACAGTCAAGGTAGCCGGACTTCTTAAACTATTTAAACAAGTGCTTTTAAAAAAAAGCTGACCTTGGCGCCTAGAATGGGCGAAAACTATAGCAGTGTTTGCCCAAAATAATTGGCAGCAAACCAAGCAACAAAAAAGGATTTCTCCAGTTATTGAAGTAATGTCACCCCATGTAGGTATCATTTGAGAAAGAATACCTCCATGGTCGGCAAACTGGTCTCCTTTAATGGACCAACTCCCCTGGTATGTTATCTGTCAATTTGACCAGTTCCTACTCTTTTCAGCCGCCTCTGAAGGCTGATAGAGGCTATCTATTAGCCATAAGGCCACATAACTGTTTTCGAAGCAGGTGCGTTAGACCGAGGTGTTAGATTCAACAATGCAGTAAAAGATTTATTTCATGGCTGCTCTATAAATAAAGCAAAATCAATTTTTATTACTGCTATTTATATAAGGACTGCAAAACATCACAGAAGCCTATAAAAATAAACCATGTATTTCACCGAGTATAATTTGCTCGTAATCGATCATTCGTATTTGTTGATGATGTCTGTATTCGTTGAGCTGCAGGTATGTTTTGGTAGAAAAGATACAGGAAACATAACATTTTTTCTAGGCGTTACCTCCCTAACGATCACGTGCTAAACGCGTGCACCTGCTAACGATCACGTGCTCAGCGCGTGCACCTGCCAAATTACAGCCAATCACAGCCTGTCTCCCACCTCGCTGCCGCGGGGCTCAACCCGAGAGATCCCAATTTATTTTCCCCGTCGACCCTTTCAAACTCTAATTTTCCTAACCGTGTGTTAGATCACCTTGCGAGGCCGCTGTCATTATCTGATATAGAGTTCAAGATCATTGCCGGCGGAACGTTAATTAAAGGGGGATCACTCGGGGTCGAATCACCGCTTTGCTACCACGGAGACTGTCGGCCCGTCTCAGTCCTGTATTGATTGATTAATGTAATTACTGTACACGGCACCACGAGGGTGGGCTCACATCATAAGTGGGCAATTTCCTGTCGGACTGAATGTCGTTTACAGGAAGACTTGGACGCTAATGGCCATTTCATTCATCAAAGTAAAATGTTTGGGGTGTATGGCACCAGTTGGGTCCTGGATGAGTAATCTACCTTGAACTTTTTCATTTTGGAAACTGAAAAAAATACCAGTCTTGGTTAAATGAGGTGCAATCCAGGGCCGCTTCTAGGGCGTTGTGCAAATAGAACACGTGACTCAATGAGTAGTGGATCAAACAGTTTATGTCGCCCCCCGTCTCTGTCAAGAGTTGGTTCTTGCGTGTTTTCTTTTACCATATCTCAAGATATTTAATCTCTGTACGATGCTTAACTATGATTAATTCATTCCAACACAAAGGGTACACAAGGATGAAATTTTCAACGATTATTGTCGCCTTCATCAGAATAATTAATTTCTTTTTTTTTTCAGAATTCCTACCAGTCTCCGTCGTCCTACTCTCAGCAGCAGTCGCCCTACTCCAACTCCCAGCAGTCATCCTTCCCTCAGCAGTCCTCACAGGCGGCGTACATGACTAACGCCATCAGCCCGGTACGTCATGTTTATAACATAGATCATTAGCAATGCACACATGGGCATTCTTATCATTTTCACTCTATAAACATCCAAATGGGCATTCTTATCATTTTCACTCAAACATTCGAGCTTCGCGATATCTTTGTGGGGTCGTGTGGCATAACGACAGAGCATTCGACTCAGAACCAAGGGGTCCCGGGTTCGAATCCTGCGATGTCACCAACCTTGTGCCCTTGTTTCCTCACTTCGCTCAGGTGAAAATGAGAAGGAAAGGAAAACCAAACCAATCCCATTCAGGAATACATCATAACGTTCACCTTTAAATATATTTGTCTCTCCGGCAATAGAAGTAGCGTTTTTTTAACTTGTGAGCGTATCAAAACAGTTTGCCATGTGTTCATGAAATTCAAGAAGGATTGCGTTTTCATTTCGATCCAAAATTGGGTATATAACAAGGTCTTTAAACATGCCAATGGGCACATACCTGATGAAATATGCCTCATACTTGGTGATTTTCATGATCAATTCAGTCAGTAGCATGTAGGTACACACTCAACCCTGCACTAACAACCATGTTTGTCCTCTCCTCTCGAACCCTTGCCTTGCTTATATTCTTTCTCCAACCCTTTGAAATTCCAAAATTTACACCTTCTCCCAGTAGAGGTGACAAGATCAGTTGGCAGAGTACTAGCTTCTCTTTGAAATGGAAAAAAAACGCTTCACAAACTGCAGTAACAATCATTCTGACACAGAAGTGGTGATAAGAAAGTCTCGCCTTTGAAGCGCTATGAATACATAGTCTTACATTACAAGTGCCAACAAAAAATTCAATTTACTTACATAACTGTTTATACCGCAGTCTGCCACACGAAGTTCTACATGAAGCGCCATATCGCAAAATATCATATTTGTGCTGAATACCCAATATACCTACTTATCAATCATGCTCATATATCGTACATAATTAAGTGCTTTCTTCCTTTTGTTCCTGTTAAACTGATGTTATGCACAGTTCGATTCATGCTCCCGATTTAAGCGAAGAAAGATGGTCTGTCACATTGTGCACGTAAATTAAACATCCCCGCACTTTTGTAGTCATCGTTGGGAATCCATATAAAGTTCCCAGGCCGATAATTCGTGAGCCAGTCTTTGTCAGTTGGATTAGTAGAGAATTTAGTTACCAATCAATCTTAGTAAAATGTTGAACTTTAATCCAACACAAAGATTACACAGAGATAAAATTTTCAACGACCACAGTCGCTTTCATCAGGATAATTAATGACCAATCACTTCACAACGTAGTCTCGCGAGAGTTACGGTTACAGACACGTGACCTAGCGAAAATACGTTTTGAAGTGATTGGTCATTAATTGTCCTGATGAAGGCGACAGTGGTCGTTGCAAAATTGATCTCTGTGTAATTCTTGTGTTGGAATAAATTTCAACATTTTACTATGATTACTACCAAGACAAATGATTTTTTTCATGATGAACAATCTTGTTTGTTTTTCTTTCCCCGCACATAAGTTCTAAGGAAGAAAAACTGAGCCGTTCTTTATTTGTTTCTACACGTAGTACGTTGATTCAGGAGCAGCTAACAAACAGTTTGATCCAAAGACGTATGATGGCGTCATAGAGGAATGTTCGGAGAAGAGCTTCTTAGCGGGGAAGTGCGTTGAAATGACGGACTGGCTGGTGAATATGGTTACCACAGTCGCTGTAAGACAAAACTTTTGTTGCTCCCCGCTCTTCTATTCACGAGTTTCCCATCCCCAGAATGCATTGAACAGGGGTCTAAACCTCATTTGTATAGGACAGGAAGGTATCGGAATGATCCTGTTGACGCTAAAGCGCTTGTTTTTCAGTGTGTTTTGAGGTGTTGGGACATTTTATGCTCAACATTAATTAAATTACTATGGGTCGAATCTGACAACAAATAGATAACGTTGAGCATAAAATGCCCCAACACCTCAAAACACACTGAAAAACAAGCTGTTTAACGTCAACAGGATCATTCCGATGCCTTTCTGTCCTATGCAAATGAGGTTTAGACCCCTGTTTTCGCAATGCATTCTGGGGATGGGAAACTCGTGAATACTGCACCCGCTTATTTATCTAACCAGCACATCGCACTTTACTGTTCACGTTTTTGTTTAATTATATTAATCACATTGTTTTATTCCTGGGCTTCCTCCTATCCTGCCAGAAATATTACTATCTTTTGAAGGAACGAGAGCTTGCTTGTTCTTTTTCCTGCCTAACCACGTTCCCCATATGCTCAACCGAATTCATAAACATTTCGTACCGCGTTTCAAGACATACATGTAAAATTGTACTCGGCTGGGAGGTTCGGCAAATACCAGTGATTTTAAAGATGGATTTTCTGGTTCTAGAATTCGAAGATTTGAAGAATAAGAAAGGTTAAATTTGTACAACTCTCTAGTGTCACTGACGAAAGGTACTGGATGCTACCTGAAACGTCTGACCGTTTCCAAAATCATATCCAGTTGCTTGAGAAACTGTTTTTTGGGGGGGCGTATCTTATTACCTGGATGTCTAACCGTCATCGATGTAGAAGGTTTACTTCGTCCATCCGTATAACTAAGGTCTGTTATTTAAGAAAGTCCTAACCCAAAAGAAAGCCTTGCTGACCCAGGAATGTCCGAGTGAAAACAGTGTGACGGTTTTTGCTGTTTTGTTGCTCCCCGCATGGCTTTTTCCGTGGCTGAGCTCGAGCTTGCATCGTCACAGCTTTACTGCACTAGCGGCCCAGTCCTGCGTCTCCTGCCGTATCTTTATTTTGCTATCACCAGACCTGAATGTGGTGAAATGTTGTTTGGTGTTCAAAGTTTCAAATTAGCCTCTAACTCACAATATTCTGGTTTTAGAAAACAGGCGCAAAGGCCTCGAAAAAAGGCGCCTTTGTCGAAAACAAGACACAACTGTACAATCCATATGGAAAGTTGCTCTCCAAACAGAGGTTTTGGGTTATTTTTGGCGTGTTTTTAGTTTTTTTTTATCGTGCTTTCTTTTTTGCACTGTTTTTTTACACTGGTTGGCGTAAAAAAACTTGCAAAAAGAAAGCACGATAAAAAAAAACTAAAAACACGCCAAATAAGTCAAAACCCAAACCTCTGCTTGGAGAGTAATAGAAAATTAAAGTCTTGGAAGATTTAAAAAATGTGTCGAAGGAATATCAAACCCAAAATATATTTTACTACTTTTCCAAATGAACAAATCATTCGTTTATAAGTCTCACCACAACACATATATTTCGTCACTAGTACGGTCTGGTAGGGATGTAATGTTCATGTTTGTAAGTACGTGTCTTTGGAGTTTGTTTGTTGGCTGCTTCTGTTTGTCTTGTACTGTACATCACTGAGTAACACGACGAAGAGTAAGAAACAACATAACCATGAATGAATGAACGAATGATGTTTTTGTTTTCTAAACCACACATGGTTACATTCTGATTGTGTGTCAATGTACTCACAAACGACTACATGGTATTGTCTAATACGTCGATTCTGTAGATGTTGACAGATTGAGATCGTTTAGTTCACCGGTAGTTGGACAAATTTAAAACGCATCATTTAACGTAAATTATCACATCTCTGAGGTTAGGATAATGAAGATGCATCACCCAAATGTATAACAGAGAGGACCCTTGTGAATACGGACAACTTTCGACACTGGACTACTCATCCAGTTCCAAAAGACGCTTGAAAATAGAATTGAGAATTCTTATGTCAGCATCCTGCAAATTCATTGTTATGTTTCTTGCACTGATTGAGCTGACTTCGCCAAAAGACTTTCCATGCAATCACAACTAAACCTACAACCCTTATCCAACGTCTTGATCTCTGCTATCAGTCTTGTTTCTTGGTCTTCGTTACGTTGCCGGCAGTCTTGTACATCATCTTGAGGATGTCTTTGTGCGGAATGATTTTAGATTACTTTCTGTGTTGTGCCTGTTTTCTCCCCGTTGAAGCCCCAGCCTCCACCGCCGCCACCCCCGCCGAAGTGCGTTGCTGACTTCTCTCACTGCGGCTACTGCGAGTGTAACTGCTGCAGCGGGAAGTGCGAGCTCAGCTGGCTGTAAGTCATTTCTTTATTGCACAATTGTACAGGGTACAAAGTATGGCATCTACTTGTACATATTAACTTAACACCAAGTTCAGGGCTCGAAATTCATTTTGGGAATAGGTGCACTGGTGTAACCCAACCGAAAAAATGGGAGCACAAAAACATTTTTGGGTGCACCATGTAAAATATAAATGATATATAATCAAAATATAATGTTATGAAATATTATATATAAAATACAATACATTATATCTAAAATGTATAAATAAAATACGTAGAATGTCAGCAAAAATGTGTTTTATTTAATTATGTTTCATTTCTAAAGAAAAGTACTACAACGATGATTTCGTTATTTTTCTGACACTTAGATGTTAGAATAAACTGCGTACTACTAAATATCTTAACATACGTAAACCTTCGAGAATATTTGGGTGCACCGGTGCACTCACAGAAGAAAATTGAGCAAACAGCTCTAAATTTGGGAGCACTAAGGTACACCCAGTATTTTAAACCCTGCACTTTCATAACACATTGATAACCTTCGCTATATATATATATAGAAAACGTTTCTAAAAACCCCCACACTGCGCCATGAAAATTATATCTCCATGCACAAAAGTAACGCACTTTACGGCACCTTCATTTAGGTTCCCTGGAGATTTTTTCCAGGCTTTAAAACTTTTCCCGAGTAATACCATACATTTGGAGCACTTTCTCACTCTCATTGGCGCTTCAACCCATTTCCTTTAGGCTACAGCAGGTAAATTTTATGGATGACATCCTCCGCAGACTCCAAATCTAGTGCGATAGGCTAGGGTGAAAAAACAAGGCGGGCCACAAAAAATCAAGATTCCTACATTTTCAAATTGTGACATTATAAACCTTGTTAAACAAGAAATGTTACCTATATTGTGCTTAGTTTACTGCCAAATATTACAACATCCATTTGTGACTGAAAAATAAAAGTTTTCAATCATTGACATTGTAAATGTGGTTTTGATTCAGTAAGCATCACATATAAAAGGAATGAAATGCATCACTGCATAAAGGTAAAATACAAAACAATAAATCAGAGTCTTGTTTTAAATTTTGTCTCCTCTCTTCATATTTATCTGCCATCCACGTTCATGGCAACAGACATCTTTGCCCATTTTCGGCATGTTGACCACTGTCAGAGGGCAACAAAATTTCTTGTCTTTTTTTTTTCAAAATCAGGCGAAAACGAATACGCGCGCTGACGTCATCCATAAAAACTACTTGCTGTGGCCTCACTCTCCTTTCCATCAAGCACTGATGATTTCAGCGTAGCGCATTTGTAAAACGCTTTTGACTCCGAGTATTCTCCTACCAAGGACACGCGGCCTATCCTGGTAATTACAGCAAAGAAAGCCGCCATTGATCTCGGCGTCAGCACGCCGTAAGCAGACGACCCTTGCTGAAACCCAAGACCATTTTTTCGCCATTCCCTTTTCGATTTCCGCCTCCTTATATTCAGCTCGTGCAGGTTTATGTAGGTGTTTGTTAATCCCGGTCGATAGTTGACTATTGTGCGGGGGATGGGAGAACGTCCTTGCGTCGATGGGTCCAGCTGATCCCGGTGGAGAGAAAGACGGACATATCCTCAGACCATGAGTCATCTTAGCCTCTACCAGGCCTCTCTCCTGGCATGTAATATCTCTATTTGGACGATTTCTACTCTTCCCAGCCGCCTCCCGAAGCCTGGTAGAGGCTAGAGTCATCCGTAGCCTCCTTCGCAGACTTCTGAGGTAGCGCCGTTAATTTTTTCGGGGAGCAACGCGAGTTATGCCGCGGAGGGACGGTTTTGCCGCCGAGGGACTTTACCACCGAAACCGTTTCTCCCTGGGAAAGTCCCTCGGCGGCAAAACCGCCCCTCCGCGGCATAACTCCGGTCCTCCCCGACAAAAAATTAACGCCGCCGCCTCAGAAGTCTGCGAAGGAGGCTAGGACCATGAGTCATCAATGGGAGGGCAAGGGGAGGCTGACCATGTCCATCTGATCATTTGTTCTATTTCTCAGCAAGTTCCTTTGACATTTATTACACTTGCTCTTAATGCCTATGTCACAATTCCCACACGGGGCCCGACCGGGCAGCTTTTGGGAACGAAAAATACGATATAAAAGACAACAAAACAGAAAAGTTCTTAATAACAATCATGGGCACTATTTCTGTACATTCTTGATGTGAATTGTTAATTTTTCGTTCTTAAAAACAGCCCGGACGGGACTCCAGTTTGGAAAAGTGACCTTAGCTTTAGAAAACCAGAAAATACAAAGCTGGGGATCAAACTCACAAATGCAAGGCGAGCACTCTATCCATTGCACCGGTTCCTAGGAACCTTGCCCTAATTAGCCAACAGCCTAAAACCGCGTACTTAATGCCTTTGAATGATCATACTTAACTTGTCATCGCAGAACCGTGCGCGTTTAATCCCAGTCTTACTGCCGCACAGTCATGCACTTAATCCTTAGTCCAACAGTTTGGTGAATTTTATGACATCGTAGTGGTCAGTGAGAGATGTTATGGGCTGACTGGAAACAAGAACATCCTTTGTTCTACTGAGAAGACATCGCCAGTCTTCCAACGGTCGGATCGATCTCAATTACAGCCGAAAGACCCGCAAATGTGGTCCCGAAACAGCCATAAAACTGTAATCCGTTATTTCCTTGGACAGCAAACGTCGATAGTCCGGCCTACTGAACATCACAATCGATAGTATGGGCAAAATCAACGAGTCGTTGTCTCAAACTGTCTACCTCTTGAGTGTATTGTGCGTATTTACAGTCCCTGCGGACAATTTCTTCTTATTGAAACTCCAAATACTCATATGGCTCCAATGTAGGCGGGTACTTAGCCTGGTATCCAAACTATCGTGGTTGGGGCAGGCTGTCTTCGGGGCTCTAATAGTTTTCCCCCCGACCAGCTCATGCAACAGACCGCACGTCAGGGGTTCATTCGTGTAAAACCTACCGGGGATCCTAGCTAAGTCTGGCGGGGAAGAGCTCATGCAGCCCCGAAGAAAACTTGCAACCACGATAGACTGGACAGCAGGCTAGCGGTACTGAACCCAAGTCCATAGGCATAAAACACTGAACCGGAGCCTACATCTGCTTGAATATTCACCTTGGTTATCAAACCGACTTCTCACCGGAATAAAAGCTTGGTTCTGCTCTGATTCCATCTTCTGTTGTTGTGGATAGGTCATCTGTTAATTAATACTTAATTAGGCGTGCGTTTTATTAATCAATTACCTTCAAAAATTGGGGTTACGACAATTGTGATGTGGGACGTTCCTCACTGATTCACTGTCGTGAAGAATTCTAAATGTCCAAGGAATGGAAGAGTCATTGGGGAAAATTTAGGTCATCCGTAGTCTTTACGCAGGCTCATACGGTGCATGCAATAAGCAGGGCTCGCAAATTCATTTTTGGTAACGCCCCAGGGGCGGAACCGTTGGTATAGCACTGTGAGTGAGTTGAAAATATTCTTTAAAAATCCACAAGTGTATTCCCTAGGGAGTTGCTTTTTTTTGGTGATAACTTGTTGGGAATAGTTGCACTGGTGCATCCAACCTAAAAAAATGGGGTGCACAAAACGTTTTCTGGGTGCACCATATAGAATAAGATAAGTAGAATGACTAGAATGTCAGCGAAAACTAATCATGTTTTATTTCTAAAGAAAAGTACTACTGTGACACTTAGATGTCACATATGCAGTATACTATTATACAATAAACTTTCATTTCTTGTCCCTATAGCCAGCGTAGTTAGTCGGGTAGAGACTATACATAGCAGGGGGCTATTTCACTGGTAATGGCATGTGATCAACGTCCATACATGTTACTTATTTCTATGCCTGTTGTTCATATGTTTGTAGGCTTTGGGAGGCAAGTGTGTGCGTCCCTGAGAACAAGTGTACCTACAGCCGCGTCACAAAATGTGTCAACCAGAAGAAGATCAGCCACTAGTACCAGGTGACCAGAACGGCGAGAACACACAGGGACCTGGATAGGCAATACCCCACCATTTCCCTCTGCCACCTAGCGGGCTCTGTTGGTACTACACTCCAATGCACGACACAACGTCCATGCATAGCATCGCATCTACTTACTCCAGTCGAAAATAGTTAATAACTGTATAATTCAATTGTGGGACATGGCTTTTGCGAAACCTACTGTGACATGCCTTCCTGTATACGAATGTATATTTATAGAAACTATATGTATGTAAATGTATGTATATGTATTATCAAATTATCAAAATCACTGTTTTGACTCTAAAACGAACATACAAGTAATTTGAACCATTACAGCGTCGATGCTGTCTTTATGTTCATGCTGTATTCTTTGGCAATACAATAGTATAAATGTGAACTGATAAGGTGATGATGCACCATTGTTGATATTTATTGGGAATGATGATGACATTGTTGTAATATCGAAATACTCCTCATTGTAATAAGGGAAAAACATACTGCAAGCAAATGTTGGGGTGGCAGATCGTTAGAGTTCGAATCCATTCTTGCGTTGAACGCAATACCTGTTTGTGTACATCTGTTTGTAGTGTGTAGTACATGACCGGGCACTTCACAAATGTCCATCGTATGTGGCCAAAGTCGTAAACATTTATTTCCTGCCATAGAAAACCCGTACGTAATAAAGATGTTCTATAACACACACACCATTGCCTTCGTCGTATTCAGTGCTCCAATAAATTAAAACACACCCTCGTTCACAGCATGTTATTTCTGTGGTCCTGAACAGGTTTTACACTGGAATAAAAATCCCTCGAGGCTCAATGAAAAGAAGAACCACTAGTAGTAAGTACAAATTCGTGACCCTAGCATGTCTGGATCATGAGATATCAAAACCGGACGTTCTGCTGCGGTACCATGACAAGCCGCCAGGTGGCCCAAAATCTATATAGCTAATCATTTTGAGGTCTCATCAAGACCTACCCACCTACCAAGTATCAGGACAATCCATCAAGGCCTTCTCAAGTGCGTGTTTACAAACACACACACACAGACACACACACAGACACACACACACACACACACACACACACACACACACACACACACACACACACACACACACACACACACACACACACACACACACACACACACACACACACACACACACACGAACTCCTCTGAAAATATAACCTTCTTGGCGAAGGTAATGATTCTACAGTTAGACAGAGAAATTCCTGTTTACTCCACACGTATCCAGACAGCTGCCTAATCAATCTCCCGTCGTCAAAAACCTACCGGGGAACCGAGCTGAGTCCTGCGGGGAAGAGCTTCAACAGCCCCGAAGAAAACCCGCCCCCACCACGGTAGACTGCATACCAGGCTACCAGCTGCCGTGACGTCGGGGATGATTGGTTTCCACACAGGCAGCAGTCAGAGGTGCCACGAGCGGCACAGCGGACCGGAAAATTAAAAGAGCCGAACTCTGGGGTGAGTAATGCGCCTTGGGGGGCCGGCTTTGACGTAGGGATATCACGGGTAGGGATTAGGCCACGTCGATTTAATTATATGGATGACATCGTCTGGGAACCCCAAAACTGATGCGCGCGTGCGAATAAAAAAAAGTTTTGCAAAAAAAGTTGCGTTTATTATTAAATCTACGTGGTCATGATGGTTGAAGAAATGAGTATAGTTTGGCGAATTATCTACTCTTCAAATTCGTTTCTTTACAGTTTAGTCTTTTTTGTTTGATTTTGGCATTCTACGGCATTGGTATCGTTTTTAAATATTTTTTTGCAACTTTGCAAATATTTGCTCATTTAGCAACCGTTGGTACGATTTACAGTATGGTTGAAAACTTTTTTTTTTGGAAACGGCCGAAAATTTATGCGCGCACGGATGTCATCCATATAATCAAATCAACATGGCCTTATTTAACTACATGTATTAAAGGCATCCAAAGCAATTTCAGGGCAGCAAAACCGGATTTTCAGAGTCAATTTTCTTTTAATATAGTAAGTTGAATCAATCCTATCTCATAGCATACTGATATCTATGAAGCAAAAATGCGATGTCACTGACGGTGTTTGCTTTGTATCGTACTAGGCTGGTTCTTGGTATCTATACGCTGTACCCAAACAAGAAAGCTTTAAAAAAAGCGACATTGTGCGGCGACATTGTCGTCCCCGGCAAAAAATAACGAGACGCCTCACGTAGCTTGTTTTGAGGCTATGCAAACGCTTCAAGTATGAAATGATGACAAAAATGCGCTAAGTAATACAACCATTGGTCTTTATCCTCCCAAGGAGTTTTATCTCCCTTTTAATGCAATTGAGCTGCACTTGACTGTAACACGGTGTTAATTTAGCGCCACCCAGTGAAGAGTGAAGGTACTGCAATCTGGGAACGACCAGTTTCAGTAATTATGTCTAGCGGAAAACGAGAAAGATTAAGGTGGAAAGCGGCAATCTCCAACTACACCAGTCATTACTAGTAGACATGAGATGACTAAATATCTCTTTCTTTGTTCTATCTTTACCCAGTTTGTCTAAAAGTGGATTATTCTAAATGCAATACTATGCTCGTTTGTTGCAGATATAAGAAATCAATCTCCTGTCGAATTTCGGTGCCATGAGCTCTTTAACGCAATCATTTCACCAGCCAATAAGATTGCCCGGTTGCGTATGCATATTACTTCATTAGACCGTTTGCAACATGTGTCAAACAGGTGAAACCCCGTGATGATGGATGGAACCATGGCTCACGTCGAAATAGGGGGATCGAAATAGTCATGGCCTCTTAAAAACAAAGAAATTAAATGCAGCTTTGTGACTTAACACGTCTTACATGTGTTGCCAGGAAGATAAATACTAGGACACCAGTCAGAACTTTATTTGCATCATCTTTTGGGCAGTTACATGAAATTTCTTTCCAGGTGTGACCTCCGGATTTACCTGTAGAAACGAATGGAGCAGTCCAGAGCCGGGCTTTATTCTCGTGTGCACTATTTGTCTGGCATAACAGTCTTCATGTCAGAGAAGGTAAGTGTGTATGATTTTCTAGCGCGGTGCACCCCTCCCCCCAATAACTATCTTCTCAGTTAAGACGGCGGGCTGACAATTGCCTTACCAAAGAGAAGATGCGTGCGTTGTATAATTGTAATTCGTGCGTTATATGTAGAAGTAACTAGTGCGTTTTCTTGTATTCTTGTAGTATGTGCGCTGACGTTAATTGTATCGTGCGATGTATACTTGTAATTCATGCGTGTTATAGAGTGTAATTCGTGCGCTGACGTTGTATAGAGTAAGAGTAATTCGGAATTCTCTTTGAGGCGACGGCGCTAGAAAAAAAGCTTGCGGCGCGGAAAACATTGTTTCTTGACTTGTTGTATGAATATGTCATGTACCATGCCACGTCAAAATCCATGGAATTCCCAAGAATCTTGGGAATTGGATGGCTGACTGTACGTGTAAGGAATGCGTGAATGGTTCGCGACATTCGTTACTGTATTACACGTTAGACTTATTTTAGCGGTGGCATTTCACGTGGTTGCTTTTGTGATTTAGATTTAGTGACAGAATCTAAGGGGCATCTCGCGACGTTGTGCGTGGTATAAATGTAAACGTTGTATAGTTATTAAGCGCTTTTGAAATTTATTTGCGAATATCATTGAGATTTTAAATACGATGCCCACGTGCAGCGCGGTTACAACACAAAAATATCACACAGCAACAATGTGTCGTTCTTTTGTAGTGGTGTCGTTCTTTTGCAAACACTCGCACACACTTACACAAACACTTCTACCGTGGCCGACAAGTACAAAATTTTACACCATAACTTTTGATGTTTTACACCGCAACTTTTGGTGTTTTACACTGCAACTTTTGGTGTTTTACACTGCAACTTTTGCTGTGTTTTACACTGCAACTTTTGCTGTGTTTTACACTGCAACTTTTGCTGTGTTTTACACTGCAACTTTTGCTGTGTTTTACACTGCAACTTTTGCTGTTTTACACTGCAACTTTTGCTGTGTTTTACACTGCAACTTTTGCTGTGTGGAAAACTCACACCCCTCCCCTTTTACAAAGAATTGTCCCTCAATAAGGTCAAAGGTGACAAAGATGGCGGCGGCCTGAGAGTAAGATTTCTCCTTTTTGGTGAATCTATTTACAATTGTAGCGTTTTTAAGTTAAAAATTGCATCCTACTGTAGTAGTTTGTGTAGGAAAAATCGTACCGAACCGTTCTTTTCTCTGCATATTTTGTGCACATGTGAGGTCAAAAATATTTGAAGACGTGCGGGGTTTTTTGGGGGGGGGCATAAAACTAAAGATTGAGTTCAGATAACATTGTCAACCAACCAATAAATTGTAACTGTCATCGTTTTCTTATAATTTGTTCTATTATTATTAAGTAGCATTAGCGTCAGGTACGTGTGGGAGGGCGTTTCTATTATTCTATATTTGCAGCTGCAGCAAGGCTTTTCGACGTCCTTGATTGCAGAAAGAATTTGTTGTCGAGTTTTTAATGTCACATGCAAAAGATGTTCTTTTATTACTTCAGTCATTGATGCCCCCTGCCTCAAGAACTATAACAATGGTAAGGAATTGTAATATTAATATTTTTGTTATTCTAGGACTTCAAAATGTTTTCATATCATACTTCTACTCAATATAACTGTTACATGTACTTTACAGCCAAGATTATGTGTACTACTATCCCTGGTTATGTTGAAGTACATATTTGTCTTTTTTGGAAGTGTCAAATACAGCCAATTTCAACAGTTCTAGCAACTGTAAACCCTTTCTCCCATGAACCCCCAGTAAATCTGACTATCTATAATAACCGGCTATATAGATACAAAACACACCATCTTATCTTGATTTATTTACATCCTTTTATTTATCTGTTAGTTAGTAACTGTTACATGTACATGTATATGTATGACATTACATTGTACCTAAATGGATGATAAATAGAGTTCTTTTTTTGCTTCTCTATGATCTGTCTACAAGCCACTAGTCGCTTCTCTATGATCTGTCTACAAGTCACATTTTTTGGTATATTGCTGATTATGGCTTCATGGATTAAAATGTAATGATGTAATATTTTTGTATGACCAATACTTGTATGACTTACAATATGGTTGTCTATGGTTGTCTTTCCAGAGGAGGAACTTCTGGTAGAGTACTGGAAAAGAGGCTACCAGTACTCTTGAGATCTCAACATTTTTTAGCAACTTTCATGACGTGGATCTAAGGCAGGTAGTACTATATATTATATCAGGGGGAGCTTCATTTGAAAACTCTTATGTGTACATGTTTGTCATGTGTTAAAGAAATGCTTGTTATTGTACAATTGTTAAAATATTGTAGCATCAATGTTTTCTACCAGCACAGCTCTTAATGTTGAATAAGGGTGGCTAAGCAGTTCTTTAGAAAGAGATGGTCAAGGAATATCATGGTGTACATGTAAAATAACTTTTAAAAGATGCAGAATGCCTCATCATGATAGGCTGTCTCTACATGATGTATTGTGTTATATGGTGTAGTGTATGAATATGATCTGAAACAACAGTTTTGTTTTTCAATCTTATTTCAAGGGGAACAAACTAGGCAATTGTGCTGTCAACAAACCCATTTATTTATTTATTGTATACAGTGTGCGGCAGCTAAAGTACAGGTACAACAAGCTTGGGCTATGAAGGCGTCTTGGCACCAGCTCCAATGCAGAAGTGAGGGAGGCCATCCGGGTACGAGTTATCAAGTGTATAGCACAACACTTCCCATTTAAATCCAAATTTCAATAGTCATGTACTCACCTGTAACATTTCCTGTACATGTGTATCTCGTATAAAAGTATTCAATCAGTAATCAATGATTTATAGTTTATCCATGTGACCCTTCCCCCTGATCCCATACTGTACTACAGAAAAGCTATGTACACAGTACATCACATGAAGTTTCTTCATGTGAAGTTGTCATCAAACAAATCATGACGGTACCAGTTTGTGATTGTAAGTGGTGTTTCTAATGAAAGTCATGAAAGCATCTCAAAAATTGTATGTGTAGTATCACTGTAAGTACTAGTTGCACATTAGATAGGGTATTAAATAAAGCACTTTCTGAATAATGTTGATAGGTCCTTCATGTCAAGTTGTTGTCAAACAGATCATGACAGTACCAGTATGTGATTCTATGTGATGTTAATGTTATGAAAATCAGGAAAGCATCCCAAAAATATATGCAGTATCACTGTGACTAGTTGGCAATGCACGCAAGTCTAGCGTCTTACAACTAACAGTATAGCAATGTGTACAGTTGTGGATATGGTATATCAAAACACAGAATTAAAAATACTGTTACTATTACTTGTTTCTAAATGCATAACAAACTTACATTGTACTGTTCTCATGAATACTGTGATGATGTAATATGATGATGTACATGTACTTTCTCCATGAACAATGTTAACTGCCATTAGTATGTGTGGAAAAGCATTAATTTCTTAGTGTTGCAGTAGACTGCCAGAGTTCTTGTTGCAGGTAAGCCGAATATTCTATCAATTTACATTACAAGTTGTAGAGTTCTTGTTGCTGGTTAAGAGTTCTTGTTGCTGGTTAAGTCTTACATTTGATGACATAATATTACAAGTTAAGTGTGTGAGAAGATCAGTTCCTCTACATCTGTTACAATAAATAAATCACCAAAGGACCACCAATTAAGTGGACACATAAACTAGGTGTTCTGTGTACAGGTTTGATGTATATTAATTTGCAATTGCCACCAGCTCTCGGTACAGTGTTAATGCATCATCGCAATTTGTGGGATACCTCTTATTTAACCTTTGCAACATATCACATAAGTAGCGATGAAATCTGTCATTCCCAACAAGTGAGGGTGATGTGCACTCTCGCTGTGCATGGTGGAGCATCCTCGCATCCACGTCTTGTAGTAGGTTTTGGCCCCCTATTTAGACCAGAGATGGAGAAAATTAGTACATGACTAAAGATGATAACTTATTTTTATACAATAAACACCATTATTTATTTCCAGATCCTTCTAACAAATTCAATTTTACATGTATAAGGGCAACAAAGGTACAAATGAAAAATAAGTAAGGAAATGAGTAGCTAGCTTTGGCAAGGGGCATTATCTTGGATGCAATGTTAAGCTGACGGTTTCATATTTGAGGAGAGCCATACATGTACCTCAACCATATTAAAGATCCACTTATCGACACTATCTTGAAGTGACTGGATCAAACTTTACCATCCCGTCTAACGCAGAGTGTACTAAATGTGTTGTTGTTCGTCCGTCGTAGTCGACGATGACCAATGAACATCACATCAGGTCTTGTGTGTCCGGCTGTGGCTCACAAGTGTAAAGTACTCACTAAATGTACAAAACTGATGTTTCATGCCAAATGGCAGTGTCTAGATTATGCCCCGAAACAACCACTTTACCTGAAAGGTGTGGCAGGAAATAAAGCGCATTTGGACGGCCAGCAGGTGCACCGTGACCAGGCAGCTTCCTTCTGTCATTCCAGCCTTGCGCAAAGCTATTCAGGTCATCTGATAACAAGGACATCATGCAGAAGCGGATACACCAACTGAAATGATGAAAATTGGGAAAATTTACAAGATGGAAAAGCAATATCACACTGATATAAGCAATAAATATAGAAGGCCATAATGCTATACCTGGCCACCATGCAATTTCTAGATCAGGGAAAAAAGGGTATTAGATCTGGTGACAAAAGTGCAACAACACATTACACAGAAAATAGAGAAGACAAAGAAGTTGAAGCTTCAGCTTTAAACCATCACAGATGCGACCTGTGTTACCTGAGTATATTTAATGAAGTAGATATGCAGTGCAAGGAAGAACAATAAATACTCACATATGAATGGTATTCCCAACTTCTAAGTCACCATCTCTGACTAGTTCCTAAAAACATTGAAAAATATACATCTAGCAAGCAGTATTACATTGCATAAGTATGTGCTACATACAGATATCCACATTTCTCATATTCTGTGACATTGTTAACTACCTAATTTCCAAAACCCCTTCTTGAGTTATCCTCTAAAATTTCAGCAAAAACTCCATCTGCATTCCAGAACAGGCTGCTACGTAAGAGGCTGAAACGAACATGTATAGAATAATAGAAACGCCTCCCCCCCACACACACGTACCTGACGCTAATGCTAATTAATAATAATAGAACAAAGTATAAGAAAACGATGACAGTTACAATTTATTGGTTGGTTGACAATGTTATCTGAACTCAATCTTTAGTTTTATGCCCCCCCCCCCAAAAAAAACCCGCACGTCTTCAAATATTTTTGACCTCACATGTGCACAAAATATGCAGAGAAAAGAACGGTTCGGTACGATTTTTCCTACACAAACTACTACAGTAGGATGCAATTTTTAACTTAAAACCGCTACAATTGTAAATAGATTCACCAAAAAGGAGAAATCTTAACTACTTACCAAAATCTGTTGATGTCTCACAACACTAACTCTCAGGCCGCCGCCATCTTTGTCACCTTTGACCTTATTGAGGGACAATTCTTTGTAAAAGGGGAGGGGTGTAAGTTTTCCACACAGTAAAAGATGCAGTGTAAAACACAGCAAAAGTTGCAGTGTAAAACAGCAAAAGTTGCAGTGTAAAACACAGCAAAAGTTGCAGTGTAAAACACAGCAAAAGTTGCAGTGTAAAACACAGCAAAAGTTGCAGTGTAAAACATCAAAAGTTGCAGTGTAAAACACCAAAAGTTGCAGTGTAAAACACCAAAAGTTGCGGTGTAAAACACCAAAAGTTGCGGTGTAAAATTTTGTACTTGTCGGCCACGGTACGTTAGTGACATGTTTTTTCTCCCATGCCTAAAAGGGGGGTCTGACCTGTTCAGGTAGGTTTTCTGGGGTTAGGCCCAACTCATGACTTGCTTTTCTGTTTGCCCCATTTGGGAAGGGATGGGTAGTCTGGGGTAATGTGTGTTTTCGTGCATTAGTTTGTAAATAATGCAGTAGTTTAGTTGAATAATACGCGAACGTTATTAGGACTGATAAAGTCTGTTAGGCTCGTACCGAAACCCTGGGATGCCTTATGGGTGTAAGTTGTAGTTTCTTTAATTTTCCTAGCGCCCCCCCCCCCCAAGTGACTATATACTACATATACCACGCACGCAAAACTTAGTCAAATTGTTTAGTGTACTCAATTCTTGAACAATTGTAACCATTTGTACATTCAAAATAAAGTACTGTACAATACAAAACATTTGCAGTGTTGATTGTTCTTTATTCACACACACACTCGGTAAATTACTTTGCAAAGTGAGTAGACACCAAATAAGTTTGCAATGCACATGTCTAATTATATTCAAGCTTGCGACTTACTGAATCAGAATTTGTTTCATGTCATTCTGTTTTCTCAGTTTCAGGATTGCTTCATTTCTATCGAAGCAAAGTCCACCACCGAGTCAAGTTATGGGGTCGTGTGACAGTGGCGTAGTGGTAGCGTGTTCGGCCCAGGCCCAAGAGGTCACTGACTGGATGACTGGATGACTGACTGCCTGACTGACAGTATTAAAGAATGGAATGAATTTGTGTTACAGTAACTGTAGTGCTACTGTAAAGTAAAAGTTCTTATATATATTAATAAGTTTCCCTTCCCCATACAGGGTAGGGAAATACTATAAGTTGTCAGGTTCCCATAGTAGTATTACTACAGTACTAGTGAGTCAAGGCGACTTCGCTTTCAGCTAAACCTTCTTCCTGTTGTTTCTGTTCTTACAACACAGGTCCCCCTCCTCCATGTACTGGAAGACTCACAGTGGCTTCTCCTAAATTAGACCGGCTGCTTGAAGGACATGGATTGTTTCCTGGTTGCCACTGCGCTGAAGTTCAGTCTGTATAAAAAACGGATGGATGAATGAATGAATGGAAGATGGATAAATGGATGGCCGCAAATGAATGAACGAACGAATGAACAGAGTGCATCGTTTTTGTGTCATGCTCCTTGCGCATAACACATGTTACAGCTTGTGTCCCCTGTGCATTGTTGTAGAATACTCTGCTCTAATGTCTCATGTTTAGAGTTAAAGAAAATTGTTGCTTCGTTATAGCCTTCCTGTGAGTTTTGTGTTTTGTCAGGCAAATTGTTTGTTCTTTGTACCCTATTTTGTTTTTATGTTCAATACAGGTGATGCCACTACCATGATGATTTTGCTGGGTGAACATCGCCAGTAAACAAGAGGACCAATAGAAAATCATCAATGGTCCATGAAATGTGTTGTCTATTCAATGATACCATTTACTAGGTAAAGAATTCATGATTGTATTTCATATTGTTTTGTCTGTTGACAAGGACGGTATATATAGGTGGGCTGGGTGGTAGACGGACTAAGGACTTCGTGTTAAATGATTTTGTTCCCTGGCACTTCTTCTAGCTGTGGCAAAATTGGTGCACAAGTAGTTTCGGCAAACCGACGCTCATCCTGACACAACTGCCGGTAGTTTCTTTATATTTTCGAGTACACTCGGCTCACATGAATGAAGAAAGACACAATTCGATTTTAAAAGATTGTGAACAGCAAGGAACAAATGAGGCTTAACAAGACTAAATTAGACAGTCTAATCCATAACTGTAGTCAGGACTTAATTGATAAACAAATTCGAACATTAGATAGGCAGGGACAAAAAAAAACTTAGCAAGACAGGGCAACAAATAACTTTGCCTTCATCACTTCTGGCTGTTCACTTTCGCCAAAGCACATTCCGTTCCAACGTCATAATTTTTGAATTACAAAACAGCTGTTAGCCGAGTGAAACTCTGATCAACCTTTTCTCCTTTGTCTTCATTGTATGGAGACTGTCAGTGGTTGTTGTCAGGATGGCGTCCAAATTTACCTCGGCAATGGAGGCAACACCTTGACGCGGTGCCGGGGCTTGTACCAAGTTTGCCTCCAGCAAATCATAATATTAATTATATTGTAACTTGTAACAGAATAGAGCACAAACACCATTTTGTAATAGAATGTGGACTGTATAGCAAAGAGAGAAATGAACTGTATGATATTATGTTTGTACAACACCTATTCCCCTGTTTCATGCACTTAAGTACTTGGTAGAAAAATTCATATTCCTAATGCAACTTAAGACAAACCACCCAACGAAAAACAGATCTGTACCTTTATTTCTACAATAACTGAAAAAGCAAGGAGAAGTTGAATTTATATAACAATAGTTACATTTGTATCTGTTAACCATGTCCATTCATCTTGTTCTGTTGTGACCTGTACTTAGCTAAGTGTGGCAGAAATGTGCAATAAAGGTCATTCATTATTGTTAGAGTATGACTGACTCCCAGTGTGGTCACTTTGTTCTACCTTTGCTTGGAGTATCTACCCATAACAATATATATATTAATTTTATATATTAACTTAACGTGGCCCAGGGAAGAAGAAATCACTACAAAACGTGGCCATGTTTGTTTACATAGCATATGACCGGGTTGCCTCTGCCAATTGCTGATTCATTATTTAAGTGATTCCTTGTTCCCTGGGCTACGTATAAGTTATGCCAAAATACAATGACTAATGGGCTGTTATCTCATCAATGCAGGGTGTAGTCCGGTAGATTTAAGCCTCCTGTATGTGTTTTCCGGTAAATAGGCAGACCCCAGACCTTTTGTCATCTAGAAAGTTAAGTCTTTTGAGTTGTTTGATTCTGCAGGTTATGAAGTATAGTATGAAGATATGTAATCTCCAAGCAGATCCTAGGGTGGTAAAAGGCAGTATCAAATTGGCCAGGCAGCATCCATTGTCAGAGAAGGTCCATACGCCTCCCAAGGGTGTCTTTTGCCATGCTAGGAACTGCTGCTTGAAGATTAGAAGATTATGCTGACAAAAATGAGCCTGAGCCAAGAACAGGAAAAGGTGTTTCAGTGCAAAGCGATAGTTTAACATGAAAGGTAGTCCTCAGAGCTCACCAGACTAACAATGCAGGCTGAATGAAGTGGCGTTTAAAACACGCCTCGGCAACATGATTCTCTTTTGAAGTGAGTGATGATCATGGTGTCTGTTTTGGTTATTGTTGATGGAGGTGCTTGTTTATGTACGTGAGCCAGTCATAAGTTTCTCACAAGGATTTGATAATAAACATGCTCTTAACTTGAGAGATAAGGCTATTCTAGCATTTCCTCATAAATTATGCAAATTAGAACCTGATTTGAATAAGTCATGTTTAGTGATGTTCACCTTCAGTGACCTTCAAGTATAGCAAGTGCTAAATTCCCAGCAATTACTATCATAATAACATTGTATAGTTCACATTATGCAAATTAGGTCTTCATTTACATAATCAATATCTGCCAAAGATCTTGTCCTTCTCAATTACATGTCACTTGTCATAGCCCTAATATTGAACACAGCAGATTTATAGAATTTCTTCATTAATTATGCAAATTAGTTCCAGAACAAGCTGCTAGGGGGCCTTAACTTGCATGACTTTTTTTCCAAAGACGAGAGCTACCTACCATTTAAATTTCATGATCCTAGCATGTCCAGATCACGAGATATCAAGACCAGATCATTTCTAGATTTAGTCACACCCTACGCACCCACCAAGTATAAAACCAATTATCTTGTTGACAAAATTTAATTCCCAAGGGAATGCATTTGTGGAATTCTTAGAATATTGTCAACTCAATCGCAGTACTATACAAATGGCTCCTCCTCTGAGGTGTCGCCAAAAATAGTAAAATTTGGGTATTTGGACCATTGCACACAGGAGCATGCCCCTTAACTATTCAAACTTAAATCCCTTTCGTTTTCTGAAACTTAGATATTTCAATTCAATTAGCAAAAAGCCTTTTCAACAAATTTGTGCAGCCGATTTTTCTATATGAGGGCCTGCAAGGGGGGGGGGGTTAGTGATTACGAATTACGCAAAATTTGCGCCGCCTATTACGAATTACGTTAAAGTCTTCGAGCTGATTACGACTTTACGATTTGCGGCTTATGTCCAATTACGAAGTACGTTGATTTTTGCGGAGGCTGCCTACGAATTACGAAGTCTAAAACGGCGTGATTACGCCTTACGAAAAAGGGCTTGCAGGCCCTCCTATATGGATTCGAATTAACATGTTTCGACCAAACATCTAAAACACTAAAACTTAATGTTTTTACGCGCATTTCAGAATCCACACCAAGAAACATTTTCTCCACTGTTGTAGAGAAACTTGGTATAGAGGAAAACATTCCTGCTTCGGTTAGAAAGAGTATAAGCTCCACTTGTGCCCACACATGTGATTCATTTTGAAAGAAGGACAGATAAGGACATGTTTTTTAATCTAGCGTCTCGTCTAAAATTAGAAAACGACAACATTTCAATTGAAAATATACATCTTTCTCAACATATTCCAGAATTTGATGCCATCGATATGAACTTTCAAAAATTTTTTCTTAGAGTTAATACAAAAGCATCAAATGATGGTGTTCGTGGAGAACTAGGAACCTTAAGTTTCCAATAATATATAGATACTAAAATACAATAAAAA